AAACTTCGCTTATCTTATTCTTGCTTTGCCTAACATAACATGATTTACCCCTTTTACCTTTCAAAATAGTCTAATTTCCACAACTATGATTACTCCTTGTAAATTCTTTTTTCTTTTGTCAAATGCACGATCCTATAAGTAACATTATTTATGAAACATGTGTTACATCAAATTGGTAAAAGATAACATGATAAGAGTTTGCTTAAACTTAATAGACAAGAAGGGTTTCTTTATGAAACTAGGCCAAAAAAAAAAAAAACCCTCCCGATGGGTTAAGGATGGTTTTGATGAAAACTATTTCAATGATTTTTTGGTCGGACTTCTTAATATGTGCCGACAAAGCCTCAAACACCGGGGGCAATGCCCTAGAAGGATGAAAAGACAAATAACTACTCGCCTAATCATAAAAGCAAATGCCATTCTAACGACATGGATGATAGTCCGAGCGTAAATTTTAAAAAGGACATAATTAAAAGACATGTGAATAAACGAGATAAAAATCAACAAGAACAGCTTAGCCTAAAAACCTCGAGTCTATTCAAATAGGGATGGATTACAACTAAGAGAGAAGTTCATGTTTTGATAGTGACAATTTATGTTTCTTCGAAAACAATTAGGTATGTCACTTACACTCTTGTGAATAGCTAAAGAAAGGTCATCTTCTTGACCTCGGGGATGATTACCCGCATTAACTTGTGTTTTGAAAAAGGTCCTCCACAATTGACAAGAGATTAAGAACGATCAGTCATCACTTGACCTTGCTAATTAATTTGTTGGCCGTTCTTCTATGATTTTCTTTACAAGCTTACTATGCGAAGCCAAAGGAAGGTTAGTTTTTCAATGGCTTCACGTCATAAGCATTGTAAATAAGAGGCAACTATTAGTACCCAAATTTTTTGAAAAAAATCAAAAAAATAAAAGAAGAGAAAAGGGACTAAAAAAATATGATTGAGGGATGCGATTAAAAAAAAAGAAAAGAAAATGACCAAAATAAAGTGAGTTTGTGAGATGAGGGACTAAACCAAACTTAGACCAAAAAACCCTAAAAAACCTAGTATAAAAACCCACTTTCTCTAAAAAAAATCTAGATTTTCTCTACCCACAAAACCAACCAACTGCCTCCCCCTTTTTTGAAAAATTCGACCGACCATATCGCCACCTTTAGCCGACCACCTCGCCAACTAGCACCTTGCTTGTTCACCTCTACTAGCCAACCTCACACCCGCTCGCACCCCAACCCATACGCCCGCGCTTGCCCACCTCTCGCTCGTGCCTAACGCTCGCTCGCCCGCATGCCTTAGCGAGGCCTCATCCGCACGCCCACCTGCCCCGTAAGCCGGTCACCCTCCCACGCATCCAACAACCACTCTAGACTACGATAATAACCATCGCCAATTGTCTAACCCGGATCCAATCGCTAACCATCGTTTCACCTCACATAGAGTTTAGATCCATAACGAGTAGTTGTCGTTCCTCTCTAATTGATCGAATAATTGGTCTTCATCAAGGTTCAAAAATAGCGAAACTAACCCCAATTCGATAAGTTGAATTCATTCTGTTGTTAATAGTAATTTATTTTCACCTTTTTATTATTTCATTTTTATTTTAATATGTATTAAATTTAGTTCATGCTTGAGGTGTACGTAATTAATTGAATTGTCTGTGATGTTATTAAAATTAATTATATTTTATCGATTTTTGCCTACTTGTCGATTTTTATCTATTTTTGCCTAATTGCCTATTTATTGATTTTGTCAATTTATTGAGTTTAATTGTTTTTGCCTATCTCGCCTATTTTTCTATTTTGTCGATTTGCCTATTTTGTTTGTTTGCTAATTTTACCTATTTTTAAGTTTTGTTTTTATGCATGTTATTTAGGCCGCATTAGCGAGCATATCCTTGCATTCATTATGTCTTTTATTTCTTAGCCATTCACTACAAAGTGAGGACAAGGTCTACGATCGGCCAAACCCCAAATTACTCGACTAGTGGGCTAATATTTGAAAATTTGGTATAGATTTTTGCCATAAAAAAAAAATTAGAAATCAAATCAATATTGCATGCAATGCAACTTGTTTTAAGTAAGACAGAGTAGAGTGATTTTTAATCTTCCCTACACATAATAAACTCCTTATCAAGAACTCTAAACGGACTAGTCATGGGGTTTTCTAATAACCATAATACTATGTGGCAACACGGGTTATGTTTTTTCATTTTTTCTATTTTCACCCAAACTCATCTCCCTCGTCTCCGACATTGCCTAACGACACACAACACAACCACCATTGCAAATACTATTATAGACACAATAAAATATCGGACTGTAGCTAATCATAAAAACAATTAATTATTCTATTTTCAAGCTATTACAAATTTCCTTCCTAAACATTTACACTCTAACCGCAAAAGTCAAAAGAAATTACTATTCTTTTAACATGGCCAAAATCCCTATTAGATTTATTCATATAATAAAAACCTCAATTTTTTTTTCTTTTTACATAAAATGCAAACCAAATCGATTCTCATAATTTTTTATTTTAAAAAATAAAATTATATAGAAACAGAAATAGACAAAGAAAATGAAATTAAAAAAAAAAAAGAGGCAAAAAACTTAAGATAAGTAATGGACGAAAAATACCTGTTGCTGAGAGAATTAGCAGGCCCCAATAAAATATCCAGATAATCCAAGTAACAATCGCCCCCCTCAGTCTCACTAACAATCGTCCCCCTCAATCTGATCTATGGTTTCCATCTTTCTCTTTTCGCTTTTGGATTTGACGATCAAAGAGTTTCAAAAAAAAATTAGTACTAGTAAAAATTTGGGGAATATAATGATCGGGCTGAACGTCCAGTAGATTTCTACCACGTGGAAGGCATCATCAATCATAATAGGTTTGCGCGCCGCCGCGTACTTTCCTTGACCACCGAAAAGTTGAAAAATAAAAAAATAACATTGCCTTGCCCCATATAACTAATGAGTAAATTATAAATTAGTTATTCTAATTTTGGAAAAGGAATTAGATAGTTTATCTAATTTAAAAAATTAATTAATTAATTTTTTTATTTATTTCATTTTTTTCTAATTTATTTTTTTAGTAAATTAAAAATTTTTAAAAATAAATAAATATTATGAAAATATTAATGAGAAAAAAGATTTTTTAGATAAATTAATATTACATTAAATATGAAAAATAATTAAATAATTAATTAATTTTTAAGACTAAAAAAATAATTTAATTCCTTCTACTGAACCAAAAAGATTAATTTATAATTTATTATATAACTAAAGGCATACTCTTTTTTGTTTTTACTTTCATAAAAAGGAAAAACTTATTTTATTCATTGTAAGAAAGGAATAGTAGTAAATCTAAGAACTATTTTTTTTCTTTTTCCCTTCGGATAATTATTATATTGATAATTTTTTTATTTAATCATAAAATATATTTTTGGATCAATTTATACATTAATCCATATGAAATCTTGAAATCTCATCTCCTCACGATTTTTAAAGCATATTTTTTATTTTGGTTTTATATATTTATAAAAAATTATTAATTTCCCCGAATAATAACCCAAGCTTTGAACCTATATATTATGGTATGCTAAGATAGCAAATTTTTGCCCCATTATTTGAAGGATGGATAGATCATGAGGCTTTCATAGATATCTATCTGATTGAGCCCATTTCATTTCATAGCCGAACACATCATCTTAAAGGTTAGCACTATTTATTTTTCACTCGACAAAAACAGAAAAGGCTGGCAAGACGGAGAATGCTTGTTTGCAATAGTTCGTTTTTTTTTTTTTTTCCTTTCATTTTTAACGTTTTTTTAATTTTTTTTTTTTTTTTTAAAGTTTATCTCTTTAGGTTTAGGTTTTGCCTTAATTTTATTTTTTGTTAACTTTTTGGACTAACAGTGTGACACATGTCAACTTTTTTTTTTTTTAATCTCATCCATCTACTCTATTTTTTTTACTAAATTTAAATAAATAATTTTTTAGAAAACTGGAATAAAAAAAAAGATAAAAGATATATATATGATTGTTCTCTCTAAATATTTGAAAAAAAAGATAAAAATATTTTTATCCAAAATATCTTATATGCATTTAACGTGTGGCTCTAGTGAAAACAGCACAAAAATTTATATTCTCATTTTTTAGTAAAATTAAAAAAAAAATTGTAATAAAATAAAAAAAATTATCTTCTCCTACTTATTTTGAGTTTTTAGAAAGAATCACCGGATATATTTTTATTTTTTTTTATTTTTCAAAATTTATTTATTTAAAATACGAGGTTAAGACCAAAAAAAAAAAAAAAAAACTCTAACAAACCAACGAACTAACATGTATTGTAATCTTGTGGGACTAAAAGTGCCACTTAACACCATTATTTCAAATTTAAAACAAAAATTAAACGTAAAAAAAAAAAAAGAGAGACGAATTTAAGCCCCAAAAAAGAAAAAATGTAAAAGACTCTGCAACAATTAACCATTAGAAAGAATTATAGCAAATACGACTAGATAATTATCCATTGTGTTCAAAAGAACGATACATGTCTACTGTGTCGTCAGTGCGTATCAATTCATATTTCATGAAAGCCCAACAACATATGTCCTTTGCACTTATACAAGGAAGAATGACCTTTAATTCTCCAGGCTGGTCATAAAAAATGTAATGAAGCTGCTGAGTTTTTAAATCATATATCGCTCCCCTTTGTCATTTATAAAAAGGGCAAAAGTCACAGACAACCCCAGCAGGTTCAATCGAAATCCATTTCTAACAAAACTTATTTGAGCATAATACCTGCTCACTTGGTGTTAAAAGTCAATAATCAGCAGAGATGAAAAAGAAGAACACAGATATAAAAACCAATTGCCCCGCCAAGCTTGGATTTATCGAACTTACATAGAAACTTAACATTTATGTGTACAGTGTTATTTACCAAGTAAAAATGCAAAGCAATTAGTGAAGGCGCATGTGAATAAGAAATTGCCAAATAATTAAATGACGCGAGCTTCATTTTGAAGCTTATCAATCAATTCATCTACAGAAGAAACAACAACCCCTGCTTTTCTCTTGGGAGGTTCCGTGACTTCAACAACCTCTAAATCAGATTTAACTTCCACGTTCAAATCTTGTGGAGTGTACTTCTTGACGACCTTAGATTTTGCCTTCATAATGTTGGGCAGTGTGGCATACCTTGGTTGGTTCAGTCTCAAATCAGTGCTGCATGAATTGAACAAACAAAAGTTAAAAGTTGAAACCATCTCGCTACGATAAGACATCCAGTTAAACACAAAATTCATTACCAAAAGAAAAGAAACTGTAATCCTAACTTCTATCCAAAGAGTTGATGCTCGCTGGCTCTAAAAAGATAATTGGCACAAACATTCAGGTTGCTTACCGCATCCTTATACCAAGAAGAGGGTTAAAGCTGACAAATTCAAGAGCGTAATAACCTGTTTGATGCTAACTAAGATTTGGAATTGCTTGCCTTTTGATCTTATGAGCAATTATTTATCCATGAGTTATTGTAGTTTATGTGAATTTTTTAGCATTTTCATAATTAGTCTAACTAGGAAGTCACACCATTAGTTTTTAGGGTCTTAAGTCAATCAATAGACAATAGTCCCCTTGTTTCAGCAACTACTGGAGTATTTTGACAAGACCTGTATGAGTAAATATAAGCTCAATCATATGAACAAGTGAAACCAATTGAATGAACATGAACTCACGTGATCACTGCAGGTAAGTTTAAACATAAAGTCTCAAGACCACCATCTACTTCTCGATCTACTGTAGCTACCTGTTTCTCCTTGTCAAGCAAGACCTACTAAATAACGGCAGTAAGTCATAGGAAAATTGAACATGAGAGAGAGAGAGAGAGTAACAGAAAAGGTAGTAGAGGAGATTGATTGTACAAATCATCCAGAAACTAACAACAAGCAATACATAACAAAATTTGCAAGCCCCTCGGTTTTAGGAGACAAAATCCATATTTATGACCAATTTTGACCCCACCCTTTTACCACCTCAACAGGGGCCTCGAAACACATGAAGCCTTGTGAAAAGAACTGTGCAAGAAAAAATGCAAGAAACTCTGAAAAAACTCACATGCTTCATCGGATTTTTCTCTTCCAATCCCCACAAGTTCATGCAAAACAACATGAAAATGATACAGAACTGAACAAGGAGAGTTGCATTAATAAAATTGAGCAAACAAAAGAACATGAATCCTAACTGAAAAGGCTGAGGCCATCTGTATACATTACATGGCAATAATCCTTACTTGTGACCTTAATTTACAGGAAACACATTTAACAGCTAAATGGAGCAAAGATAGTGGTCAAAGGTTGAAGTCATAATTGATTTAGCAAGACAAAATTCAGATTTTGGAGCATTCATGCATCCTACATAGAAGTGTACAAATAAATTAAGGATCATTTTGACAGCTAATGCTTCAAAAACCGAGTTTAAGACATTATTTCAAGCAAGCAAACTACCTTGCCAATAGCCTGCAGAAAGCTTAGAACCCTTAATTTCTTAGAACCAAAGAGAACAGTGATCAATATAATTTATTAACCACAAAGATCACAAATATCTCCGATTGCAAACTAGTGGTTTGGTATCAGATCTAATATGACATTTGGATGACAGAAGTTTCAACAATCAATACACTAACTATCATATCTGAATGCCAATGAACAAAGTCGCAAGGCATGCATCAAAATCTTGTCTCAGCAATTAATGTGGTGCCTTCTCAACCATTTCCTCTTCACGAGCATTTCCTCTGAACTATGATATGCCTTGCTGGCTCTTTCACTATTTGCTTGACCATCTTATGCCAATCAAAATAAAGAGATAACCGCTAGACTGTGGTAATTGAACTTGTATTACTCATTCATTTACCTATATTCTGTATTACAGATGCCTCCTGTCTTCACCCTAGGCAAATGTAAACCTCTGAAAAGAATTCCTCTCAACCAATCTTATATGGAAGTACTGAGCCATGCTATTGGACACTTTTGGTCCACAGGTAAGCTTGTAACCCCTACATCCAAAGCATACGCTCTAATGCTAACCAGCTAAATTAGCAGAATTTCACTACTCTAAGTTTATTGGACCTTGAAAGTCCTACCTTCAGTGTCCAACTACTAGAAACCTCAATATACACTGCATATGGGACCTGGTCAATTATAATTAACAAAAGAAAAATTGGAGACAGAGATGGGGAAAAACTTTGACAAGCTATATTAATTTTCAGGAAAGATTTAATACATGAAATTTTGAGTTCTGATGGCATGCCTTCTAGTTTCAGTAATTCAGTCCAATCCTTAGACATCATGCTCAAGCAGATTGAAACATAAAAACAGATCAATGAAACAAGTAATCTCAAAAGAATAAATAAAATCACCAAAAAAAAAAATTCAGCATTACTTATATTCAAGTATTTTTAACTGGATTGTGATGACAAAAATTAAACTAACCTTTGAAGCAAATGTTCCCTGAGGCCAGCCTAACAACCCTGCCACCATTTGACCTGTTTGATTGCAATCATCATCAATAGCCTATACCAAACATAAAAAATAAAAAAGAAAGTCAGTCAAAAGAAAATCCCAGAAAACATAAAGGCCATACAAATATGTCAAAACCCAGATAAAGAAGCAACCTGTTTGCCCAAAATAAGGAGTCCAGGCTTCTCGACCTCCACAAGGGCCTTCAAGAGCTTAGCCACAGTAAGAGGATACAACGCAGCCGTGGACTCTACATGAATCCCTCTATCAGCCCCCATAGCCAGACCTGTCCGCAGCGTATCAACGCACTGGGTTGAACCCATACTTACGGCGACAACCTCGGATGCCAATCCAGACTGCTTGATTCTAAGCGCCTCCTCTAAAGCTATCTCGCAAAATGGGTTCATGGACATCTTCACATTTTGGGTCTCAACTCCACTCTATTTCCAAGATTAAAAAGACAAAAAAGAGTTTCTCAGTTGCCTAGAATTAATTTTACTGCTTGTTAGTGATAGTGAGTGTCATGGTGGTTTTGTTTTCTAACCTTGTCTGTTTTGACTCTGATCTTCACGGCGTAATCAACGACTCTTTTTATTGCTACCATTATCTTCATCGTTGTTGTTCTCGTCGTCGACGTCTCTTCGGGATCGATGTGGCCTGCAGATTGAGATGTAGGTGATGAGAGATTATTAATAGGCTTAGCTTTGGGAAATGGAAAAGATGGTCAGAGTCAAAATTTCTATAAGTTATAACTTAGTCCTTGCAGTTTTATAAAATCAATTAATTAATCCCTGGTTTCAAAAATTATATTTAATACCTGAACGACATCGAAACTTCCATTGATAAAATACATCATAGCTGTTACATTAGAATTGCTATGATTCAAAACAAACCACGTTAAAAATACTCATAAACAATATATTTAAAGTAAAAATAAAGATAAAAAGATAAATGAATATTAACGAGAGTACTATAAATTTTTAAGTCAAGAATCAGTTGATGTTTGATAAAATTAAAGATTAAGTATTGAATCTGTTAAATACTAAATTTTAAGTATTGAATAATTAAGTATTGAATAAGTTCTTGACAAGCTATTTGGTATTTACTAAAAATTAAATACTAAACATAATAAGCTTGTTTGATAAGTATTATTGTTGAACATATTAAAGTAATTTTAACCTTATAATTATATTATAATATTTTTTTAATATATATAAACGTGTTTGTGTGTATAAGGAAATAAATAAATAAAAATTATTAATAAAAAATTAAATACGATCTCAAATAACATTAATTATTGTATCATGTATAAAATAAAAACTCAGAAACTAAAATAGCTTAATCTTTTTTTTTTTTTTTTTTACAACAGTTCTCAAGTGTTCAAGCCAGAACCACACGAAATCAATCTCAAGTAACAAGAGATGAAAAATAAATGAAACCAAGAATACAAACGAACCAATGTAAACTTGATTTTTAATTCCCAAAGAACAGAAAACAATGCTGGGGGATTATTACAGTCGCTCAAGAAAAACGTCAAATGATAGATAGCACCATGAAATTCCAAGCCTTTGCTAATAATAATCTTATTGGTCAATGTTAGAAAAAACCCGAGGCAGGATATCTTCAATTTCAACCCTCCAATGTTGCAGCTCCAGATGTAATCTCAGTCAACTCCATAGTGATAGATGCTTGACGAGTTCTGTTATAAGTCAGTGTCAAGCGATCAAGCATATCTCTAGCATTTCTGCTTGAGCTATCCACAGCAGACATTCTTGCATCTTGCTCACTGCAAGCATTCTCCATTACCGCATTGAACAAAACGCAAGAAAACTAGAACCCAGTAAGATTCTGAAGTATTTCACCCTTTGTTTCACCACCTTCAATCTCATAGGAATCAGGATCATCAAGCTTCCCACCACATTCAGTCTCTCTCTTCGTAACCTCAAGAGATAATACAGTTGCCATGGTCGCAAGAAATGAGACCACTGACTGGAGCTTGTTGAAGCATCATATTCCACATTCTTTAAGATATCGTCTGCCAGAACAGAGACCTGCATATAATTCAGAGGATTCCTCTGCAACTCTGTCATGCATATTGCAATAATCTTTTTTGAATCACGTATCAACTAAGCCTCTGCCTTCTCTCCCAAGATGACATATTTTATTTCTTTGCCAGGACCAAAAGTCACCTTGCTAATGGCCTTGCTGACCTTGACTGTTGTAGAGTTAATTCCACCACACAGACCTTTATCCGAAGACACAGTGACAATCACATTCTTCTTTACATCAACGTTAGGAGTATCTCCAAGAAGCGCATTAAACGACTGCCATAGACCATGAGAATTTTCAACTTTAGTTTGAATTAATTACAACTTTGAGACAGCAACCATCTTATAGCCTTCGTAATTTTCTGAATGTTCTTGACACTTTTCATCCGATTTTGAACAACTTGAGTTGAAATGGAACGCACTCCAGGAGTGACATGCTCCTCGGTGATAAGAGAGGATCGGACAGCGGTGAATGGTTCAGGGGAGATGAGAGGGGAGACAAATCTCATTCCTCCGCGTCTCAAAGCAGCTGCTATTGCCATTGCTATCTAAGATTCTTTCTAGCCAAACCCTAAAAACATCTTAGCTAAAGTTATAAGAATATATAAGGGCAATATAGTTATATTTAAAAAATTTTAAAAATCTTTTAATTGAACATGTTAATAAAAAAATAATAAGTTAAAAACTTTAACTTATTTGGTTAAATAGATTTTGATTGAACTTAAATTTTTAATATGAGATTATTTAGGTTATCAAAAAAAATAAAATTATTAAGCACTATAACTTAATTTTTTAAACTACTTAAATAGGTTATCAAACACCCCCTCAATTACATAGACTATAATCATCTACCTCAAAACCTAAAAATGTTTTGGATCTGTGTAGAAACATTAAGTATAATTAATCAAAATTCTAAAACTATTTCCAACTTAATGGTTGTATCAAAACATAACTTAATCAATACTTAAACCCAAAGAATCTAAGAAAATATATCATATACGAGAGAAAGATTAACTTGAATTCCAAATACATCGGACCGAAATCTCTTCAAATCACCCTTTTTTTTTTAGTTAAGTTAGAAAACTCTACTTCTAGAAAAGAGAGCAAATGCCAAGAAAGCAAACTCCACTTCTAAAAGGGAGACATAATTTATTCACTTGGAAATAGATTAAAGTAAAAAGAACAAGTAATAAAGAGTGGAAGCTTTGCAAGTTGTAGATCCTCATATTTTGTTTTACCAAAAAGAGAAAGGGAGAGTTAAATTCAAATCTATTATGAAAGAAATGATAACAATGGTAGAATTAAAGAGAAAGATGATAGAAAAATGAATTCACAATAAAATAAAGTAAATATAAGAGACAATAACTCCAAATAATCTCTAAATCTCTACAAAACTCATCAACTCAAAATAATGAACAATCAAGCCTATTTATAGGCTTTAAGATTGAGAAGAGAATTGAAAGGAACTATAAATTATTAAAATATACATAAATAATTGAATCAATTACATCATCCTTTTAATTTCTCATATTGAATGGTGAATTGAATCACATGAGTAGTGGGAATATGAAATGGATATTCATTATTTCATAACACTCCTCCTTGAATCTCCATCGTACAAAAAATATGTCTCATTAAAATCTTACTAGAAAAAACACATTGCCTAATAAAGGAAAAAGAGTACAAAATTTCTTATACGTATTAATCTCTATGTTGGGCTCCCCTATTTGAAAACATCATTTAAGATCTTTAAGAAGATGCATCTCGGTCTTGCAAACCATTTTCTCAAAAGTTATGGTAAGTAATGCCTTAATGAATAAGTCCGTCGATTATCATTTTGATGTATTCTTCCTTTAATTGAATTATGCAAGCAACATTATTGTCATATAATACTATTAGAATTTCTTTTTTGATAGATAAACCGAATGTCTCTCGAATATGATAGGTCATTGATCTTAATCAAATACATTCTCGACTTACCTCATGAATTGATATCTCTACATGGTTTGAATATATAGCAGCTATAGTTTACTTCATAGAACGTCATGATATAGTTGTATCATCATGTGCAAATACATAAACCATTTGTGATCAAGATTTATATGATTAGATAAATAATCTATATCTATATAACCAATTAAATTTGACTTTGATTTATTTGAATAAAATAAATACCATATCAACTTTTCCTTGAAGATAACGTAGGAAATGTTTAGTTCCATTCTAATATCTTTATATTGAATCAAAATTATGTCTTACTAATAAATTTATAAAAAATGCTATATCGGATCGAGTATTATTAGCAAAATATATTAATGTACTAATTACACTAAGATGTTGTACTTCGAATCAAGTAATTCTTTGTTATTTTCTCAAATATGAAAAAAAAAGTCTTTTTGGATATTAAGTGAACGAACTCGTCATTGGGCTCGTTAATAGTGAGCTTTATATAGAATCATTGTAGAATTTTTTCTATATAAATTGATTCATGAATAAAAATCTCATTCTCTAAGTTTTTAAATTGCATATCGAGATAAAAGTTTGTTTTTTCAAGGTATTTCATAACAAATTCTTTTTTAAATAACTTATAACACTCAAAATCTTTTCAAGAGTTCCAATAATATTTAAATCACTAAAATATACATCAATTATTACAAACCTTTTTTTAATTTTTTTAATAAAAATAGGGTTATTTTTATAACATTCTTTCAATAAAAATTCATTGAGGTGATTATATCACATCCATCTAGATTAGTATTAAAGAGTGGATATTAAAAAATAAAATATAAAAAGCATAGCATAAATTAAATTTCTAAAAACTAAAGTATTAAAACAAATACTAAAATAATTCTTATATAGATCTCTATAATTTAATTGAATATATTTTTCAAAAATGTATATTACATGCTTCGTGCATCTTAAGTTCTTCTACGAGTTTCATATATATATATATATATATGCATATAAATTTTTTCATATATTTTGTCGACCTAACGAGATAATAAAATGTAATTACATATATTATAAGAGAATATGTCTCCTCATAGTCAATATTAAGTCGTTGTAAAAAATATTATGTTACAAGTTTTGCTTTGTATCTCATAATCTCATCTTTCTTATTTTGTTTTCACACAAATACTCATTTGTATCATATTGGCTTAACATCTTCAAGTGTTTTGACTATGGGTTCAAAAACTATTTATTTGTAAGAGACTATAATTCTATCTAGATTATTCTTTTTATTTAGGCTAATCATCTTTATATCGACTTCTTTAATAAATTTAGGCTCACTATACTTATTTTCATTCAAAATATTAATTGCAATATTATATGCAAAATGTTATCAATAAATATTTCTTTTCGATCCTATTTTCTCTCTATATTAACATAATTTATCAAAGTTTCTTGATTTTTCTCGAGCATTTGAACTTCTTCTAGAAGCCTATTAGTAGAAACATCTTTAGCCTTTTTTGAATATTTACGTTATTTATATTTTCATCTTGATTATTTGCTATTTTCTTTCAAGGATTTTTGTTTTTAAAATAGATCGATCTTCAACAGTTCAAGCATGCTTTAGATTCATTTTTTATAACATTAATAGATTTTTCTTCTTAAGACATTAATTCTAATATGAGCATTTTTAGTGGGAACATGCATTTTAGCTACTCTTTTTAAATTTGAGAATACATCTAGCATTTGGTTTGTAAGATTTTATAAATGAATTATCTTCTGAACTTTTAGTTCATATTATTTTATGCAAAGATCAAGATGATGTAAAGATAGAGTACTTCATGTTATCTCCTTTTCTAATATTATCAACTCCTTATTTTGGTTATTCTATCCGCCTAATATTAAAAAAAATTTTCATCAAAATGACAATCGATAAATCGAGTTGTAAAAATATCTTTTGTTCATAGTTTGTGATATTAATTATAGAAAAAGATTCAAATCCAACATATATTCTCAATCTCCTTTAAAAATCCATTTTAGTTCGTTATAAAGGGGCATTAGAAATATATACTGCATAATAAAAAATTCTTAGATAAAAAATATTTGGTTCATGACTAGCAACCAATTGAAAGAGAAAATTCTAATAACTTATGAGTCCGATATGAATAAGTATCACTCGCATATAAAATTGCATGTCTTTAAACATAAATAAGGAGTTTTGTTTTCATAAGTAATGATTTGGCTATTAATTGGAGCCTTTTGATAAACGATTCTACAAAACCTTTCTAAGTATGAACATGAGCAACATGTTCTTCAAACTTTATTCTAATAGCCAATCAATAATCATTTAATGCTTGAGAAAGAAATTTATCGAGCATTATCAAGATGAGTTGTTTTATAGCATAATCTAAAAATTGTGCTCGTAATCAAATTATTTGAGCTAGCAACCTTGAAAATGCTAGGTTTCAAGTAGATAACAAGTATACATGTGACCATCTTTTAGATGCATCTATTAAAATCATAAAATATCTAAATAATCCATTCGATGGATGAATTGATTCCCATACATCACTTTGAATACATTCTAAAAATACTAGAAATTCAATATTAATTTTACTTGGTGATGGCTTAATAATCAATTTATCTTGAAAACATGCAGAACATAAAAATTTATTAGATTGAAGAATCTTATGACTCTTCAATAGATGCTCATATGAATTTTTAATAATTTTTTGCATAATAAAAGACTTAGGATAACAAAATCGGTCATGCCCTATAATAAAAATATTTGAATTAGTAAACCTCTAGTTGATTATAACATTTGTTTCAATCATTCAAATGTTTGTAATAAAGATTAGAAGAGAAAGAAAATAATTTTTTCAATAAATATTTCTACCCGATGTAATAATTATAATATTTAAGTATTCAATATTTTTCACATTTGTTATCTTGATATGATGTCGATTTAGATGAATATTTTTTAAACTTAATAAATTTCTATGAGACTTTAGAAAGAATAATACATTATTTATAATAAAATTTTTCATTTCGGATAATAATATATTTATCTTTCTAGAGCCTTTAAATTCTATCTCTTTAAATAATAATATATTTGTTTTTCTAGAGCCTTTAAAAATTGTCTATTCAAGTAATAATATATTTGCTCTTCTAGAGCTTTCAAAATTTTTCTCTTCAAGTAATAATATAGTTACTCTTCAAAAACTTTTCGTTAGATTGCTATTATTATATGTAATATTAACACAAAATAAATAATTAAATAAACAATAAATAAATAAATAAATATATTCTTTATAAAAATAAATAAATTATAAAATAAATTTGTAATTATCACTATGCAATAGAAATTATAAGAAAATATAAATCATCTTATTTATAAATAGAAAATCTAAGAAGTTATTAGTTTTAATTATCATCATTTTACTATATAAAAAATTGACTTTTATATTTTACTCTTTCTTTTTCAACGAGGCTTTATAAAGCTCAATGAGGTGTTTTGACGTATGACGGACATGCGATCAATATTCCTTCATACCATATCTATAACCTTCATTTTCAAAAGGCTAACTTGAGC